AGGAGAGGAGAAGAGGAAGGAAGGAAGGAAGGAAGGAAGGAAGGAAGGGAGGGAGGGAGGGAGGGAGGGAGGGAGGAACGAACGAAGGAAGGAAGGAAAGGAAAGGAAAGGAAAGGGAGGGAGGGAGAGAAAAAAGAAAGAATGTACCCCTTTAGGAACAACACAAAAGGTCTCAAGTAAATGGCATGCCCTTACAAGGGGGGAGAATACGGAAAGGTCAGACTAAGAATAACTGAGACCCAACTCTAATTCCCTCAAGATGTACAAACTTGGACAAGGAAGGCACTGTTTTGCATCAGTAAAATGGGAACAATTCCTGAATCACCTCTAAAGAGATGAAAGTATCAAAGGATTAAAGACACAGAAGATGCTTTAGGCTACTTTACAGACTGCCATACATGCTTAACTCTTACTCATATCTGGATTAGTCAATGATCACTCCCAAAATATTATTTGTATTCGAAGCAGAGTTTTTTTTCCAATGAATGAGTATCTTCTGAGGAGCCAGAGTGTGCAGTGGGAATCCCGATTTTATTTCCAGAACTGGGCCAAGCCACGCAAGCGCAAACAAGACTCTATAAACTGACACCATGACAGTGCTTTTCAAAATAAACCCTAAGTAATTATTTTCTTTTCACATAAGTAATCCACTAGGCTTAAAAAATTATTGAAATAGAAACAAAAACTAAGCTGATGTCTAGGTAACAGGGCTGTGAAGACAGCATGGTGTGGTAGATGGAAACAGGCACGATGCCAGCTGGACTCTCGCGGTGTGCGCTCTCTCCGAAATCCCTTGGGTTGGGCAATAACTTTGTTTTAACAATCCACCCTCACCAACTTTCACCAGCCTAAGGCGGACTGCCCCAATGCCTCACACCTACCCCTCAGCACGAATTTGAAATTTACAGGAGGCAAAGTCAGAGGTCTGAAACCTTTCTCAGAGAAAGGGAACAGGTGTCTACGAGACGGAAGGAACCGAGGCTTCTTGCTATCATGGGGCACACGACTGCATGCAAGCACAAAGACAAGACCTCCATTGGCACCCCTGGGCAGCCCCGGGCCCACCCTGAGCCATGTGGACGAGCCTGTTCTCAGTTTTCTGTCCCAACAGTCAGACAGCTGCATGTCACCAGTCCAGCTCAAATCCTGGGAACCAGGAAATCGCCCACAGTAGAGCGCTCCTTCCCCTGGGGCCGGGAAGGAGCGCGGTCCCTAGAGAGGGTCCAGCCGCCTCCAGTCCGCCTGCATCCTCCCCTGCGTCCGGGCCGCCTGCATCCTCACCTGCGCTGGCGGACCCCGCCCCGGCGGACTTCACCGGCGTCGCAGAGCAGCGCAGCACGATGCCTGCCTCCCACCGGCCTTCCCTCCGCCCCACCGCGGCTGGAGAACCCAACTCCGCGGCTCTGGGACCGATCCGGCGCCTGCGCATCTGAGCAGCTGAGCCGCCGCGCCCCTCCCACGTGACCGGCCTGCCCCTGCCCCACCCCCTGGGCGCCGCCGGGCATCCTGGTCGCCCTTGAACTTCTGGGCTCCCGGACAGTTCTCTTCTCTCTCCTTCGCACTGCGTTAGGTTGGTCAGCTCTTCCCCAGTCGTGAACATAGGCCCCTGATGTGTTCTGCGGGGTGCTGCTCTGTTCAGATCCTGAGGCACCTGTCCCATGTGTAGAGTATCTCCTCAATCAAATTTAAGATTGTTAGTCTCCATCCTAACCCGTATTCCCTCTCACTCCCAAGTGCTGCTTCTCAGAGTGGACAGAAGCAGCCAAGAACTGGCTCCTTGGAATTTAGCCGGTTCTCTTAGGTTCTGAGCAACCCTGGGCCTACTTGGTCTCCCACACGTTTGTCTGTTTATTTCAAATGTGTTCAAGCTGATCTGGAACTGGTCATCCTCCTGTCTTCCAAGTGCTGGGATCACCGAAGTACAACTCCGAACCTGGCTATTGTTAGATAAAAGCCCGGCAGGGAATAGCCACAGAAAACATAGGAGGACTCCAGGCGAGGCAAAGTTTATTTCTTAGGATTCCTGGTGGCTGGCAGCTCAGCTGGGGAGAGAGAGAGAGGCAACCAGCAGCCTGCTGACTGCTGAGGAAGTTCTTATAGGGGGGTTGGGGAATGTGGAGGTGGCAAAAATAATCTTTAGTTTCAAGGGAAGTAGCTTGAACTGAGACAGCTCTTACATCGGTGGGTCTGGGTGCACAGGCCTGTTTATCTTCCAAAATTATCTGGGGAACAGCTTTGTGCTGAGACAGCTCTCAATGTAGCTGTCTAGCCAGTTCCTGTTTTGCAAGGGGGCCCTCATGGCCTGTCTTGTAAGGTTTTTCTACACTGGGAGAGGGTCATCTGCAGACCTGGACTCTAACAGCTATCATCTATTTATTCTTTTACTCCTGTAATAAATGCTCATACTGTTTTATAAAAGTAGGTAGTCAAAACGTAATTTTAGAGACAGTATTAACTGACTCACAATAGAAGAATTAAATATCAATAAAAAAGACTAGACCACTCACAGGGCAATTTGAAGAATTGAAGCAGGCCTACATCACACCGGCCAGAAATGATTATCAAATGTGTGTGTGCTCGAGACACACACACACACACACACACAGAGAGAGAGAGAGAGAGAGAGAGAGAGAGAGAGAGAGAGAGAGAGAGAGAATCATGCGGCTCCTTGGGCCATGGGAAGACTAAGGTGTCACTGTCTATTACTGTAAAAAGCAATACCCTCTCTATATTAACAAATTCAAGATACTGGGGAAAACGAGGCAGTTTTTTGTTTTATGATCGTGTAGACCTAGTCATCAGACAAAAGGCAAAAAAGACGGGTCTGACAATGTGAGAGAAAACAGTGTTATAGTCTTGATTATGAATATTCCTGGCTCTCTTTCCCATAGACTGGAAATCTCCTGGGGCTGGAAATATTCCCCTTTCCTGATACATGGGCTCAGTCACTCAGCAGACTAACTTTTCAACCCTAAGATAAACAGAAACAAGCAGGCACCTGCTGTTGCTATCTAGGGAAGACAGGGGCCTTCTGCTTATCTGTAATTCTTTGATGAGCTTTAAATGTACCTCATACTGAAAATGGACTGTAATGACTTATTTCTTACATTCACTGAACCTGGAGTGAGGCTGGCAGTCAGTAAGCCCCAGAAAACCCCCTCTTTTTGACTAAGGCAGTTTATAGAAGGAAGAGCTTATTTGGGCTTAAAGTTTCAGAGAGAGAGAGAGTCCATAACAGTGGGGAAGACATGACAGGAGAGGGGTAGAGCTGGAAGCTTAATACCTAACATCTTCAAGTATAGGCAGGGAGTAGAGAGAATCAACTGGAGGTGGGACAAGGCTATGAACTCTCAAATCCCATCATCAGTGACAAACTTCCTTCAGCAAGGTCACACCTCCTAAATGTCCCCAAGCAGCCCCACCATCTGGGGACCAAGTGCTCAAATATGAGAGCCTACGGGGGACGTTCTCATTCAAACCACCACAAACAATAAGCACAGTGGACTTCATTGTGTGTGTGCTGTGTTCCTTTCTTCCTTAGTACAGGGATTCTCTCAGCTGTTTTGTAAGAAATGAGAGAGGAATGTGATCTCCGCCCTTAAGATTTGTTTCTTTCTTATCAAATTTATGTTCCACTGCTCAGGTTCCTCAGATATCTGTATGCATAGATTAATCTTTTAGGTTTTATAAAACAGTTAAATATAACTCATGCAGTATAAACAATGTTCATAAAGGCTGGAGAAATGGCTCAGCAATTAAGAGTGTGCACTGCTCTTACAGAGCACCCACAAAGGGCAGCTTACATCTGTAAGGGCAAGTTACATCTGTAACTTCAGCTCCAGGGGATCTGATGACCTCTTCTGGGCACCTGCACTCGCATGTACACATTCCCACACACAGACACATACATATATACTTTTTAAAAGGGCACATAACTCAGACAAAGGGTCAGTGATCTGTGCAGTTTTGAAAGCATTGGGATATTGCCTGCCATGGAAACAATGTCATACCTGCTGTGAAGTGTCAGTTGCAGTGGAGATCCCAGGATAATAGAGATGCCAGGCTGTGGGATGACTTCCAAGGAGAGCTGCAGTCATGGAGAAGAGCTGGCCTAAGTCTAAAGGAGAAGCTATATGTGCTGCAGGTGGCAGAACTGGAGGGGTGAAGCTATCTAAGCCCTTTGGAGCCCAGAAGATTTCATAACAAGTCCCAGATGCTGGCTGTAGCATTTCAGGATTTGGCATTTATATGCTGGATTCTTGGTTTTGCATTAGTGTGATTGTTTTATGTCTCATTTCTTCCCTTTTGCAACAATGTTTGCTATGTGCCACTGGAAGTGTGTACCTTATTTTTTATTTTATAGGATCTCATAGTTAAAATAGACTTTGAGGATTGTTTTGTTTTGTTTGGTCTTTTTGAGACAGGGTTTTCCTGTAGCCCCAGCTGGCCTGGAACTCACCATGTAGACCAGGCTGGCCTTGAACTCACAGAGATCTGCCTGCCTCTGCCTCCTGAGTGCTGGGATTAAAGGCCTGTGCCACCAGGCCCAGCTGGTTTTAATTGTTTTTTTTTTAATACTTTATTTTCTGGGTATGAGTGTGTCGCCTACATGTGTATAAGTGCACCCATGTCATGCAATGGCCTTGGAGGGCAGAAGAGGACATTGGATTTCCCTGAAACTGGAGTTATGAATGACTGTTAGCTACCATGTGGGTGCTGGGACTTGAACCCAGGTCCTCTGCAAGAGCAGTCAGTGCTCTTAACTGCTGAGCCATCTCTCAGCCTGTTTTAATTGTTAACTTGATACAATCTAGAATCATCTGGGAATGGGCTCTCAATGAGGGGTTGTTTAGCTCAGGTTGTCCTATGGGCATGTCTGTAAGGGATTGCCTTGGTTACATTAATTGGTGTGGGAAGGCCCAGCCTAAAAGTGGGTGGCATCATTCCCTGGGTTTCTGTCCAGGACTGTATAATAGAGAAGGTGAGCTGAGACAAATGCATGTGTTTATTCTTTCTCTGCTCTTGACTGTGGATCTGACTGGCTCCTTCAAGTTCCTGAAACCTTTACTCCTCTGAAATGATGAGTTGTAATCTAGACTTGTGAGATAAACCATTTCTCCTTAAGTTGCTTTTCAAAATTTTTATTTATTTTTATTTTATATGTATGACTGTTATATCTGCCTACATGTAAGAGTACCTGTGTCGTGCAGAGGCTGAGGAGGACAGAAGAGGGTGTAGGATCCCCTGGAACTGGAGTTATGGACAGTTGTTAGCTGCCATGTGGGTGCTGGGATTCAAACCTGGGTCTTCTGCAAGAACAACCAGTGCTCTTAACTGCTGAGCCATCTCTCTAGCCCCTTAAGTTGCTTTCGTCAAGGTATTTTGTCACAAATAGGAAACAAAACTAGGACAAAAACTAGACAGAATTTAGTAGGAATGCATCAGTCCATCTGTCAACCTATATGGATTAGTTAAATGTATCAAAGCTGTTTATCATTGTAGAAGATGCCAAAAGGGATTTAATAAAAAAAAATTTACGTCTTTTCCCAATAATAGCCCCAAGTTAAACAAGAATAAAGACAAATCAGTTAAATAAAAATTTCTTTTGAGACAGGATCTCATATATCCCAGGCTGGCCTCACATTCACTGTGTAGCCAAGGATGACCTTGAACTTCTGATCCTCCTGCCTCCACCTCCTGAGTGCTGGGATTACAGGTGTATGCCACCCCACCCAGTTTATGTGGTGCTGGGGATCAGGTCCTGGGCTTTATGCCACTGAGTTACATCACCAGTCCCTAAATAAGAATTCTTTACCAAGACCAGAAGCAAGTATCATAAATGGGGAAACACTAATTTTAAACAAGGAACTAGCTCTGTACCTTAATAATAATGAAGAATTAACAAATTCAATAAAAGCAATTAGTATAAACTTTGAAAGAAATTTATCTCTCTTTGCTAATGGTATGGCCACATACCTAGATAATCATGATAGCTTCAGTTGTCAACTTGACACATCTGGGAAGAGGGAACCTCAGTTGGGAAATTTCCTCTATCAGATTGGCCAGTGGGCATGTCTGCGAGACATTTTCTTGATTGTTGAGTGATGTGGGAGGGTCCAGCCCACTGTGGGTGGTGTCACCCCTGAGCAGGTTGTCCTGAGTCTTATAAGAAAGAAGTCTGAGCACAGACACAAGGAGCAAGCCAGTAAGCAGCTTTCCTCCACAGTCTCTGCTTCCACTTCTGACTCCAGGTTCCTATCTTGGGTTCCTGCCCTGACTTCCCTCAGTGATAGACTGTGACCTGGGAGCTGTAAGCTGAAATAAACTTTCCTCCCCAAGTTACTTTTGGTCATGGTGGTTATCACAACAATGGAAAGCAAACTAGGCTAATAACCCCGAATAGTCTATTTTAATT